ACATATAGATATATATAGATATATATATATATATATATATATAGATATATATATATATATATATATATATATATATATATATATATATATAAAATAACAGAAGTTAATTGCAATGAATGATTTTAATGTATGCTGTGCAATTTAAATAGATACCATTGTTCCCCGTAGATATGAATCGTAGTGAAATCAACAGTTGGAACGCGACTGTTGGAAATGAAATCAGTCCCAACTATATAACCGTTTGGATTCACCGATTTCTTCGACTCCCCATAATATCCTTCCAACCCGATTTCCACTAGATGGTTACGGTCAATAGATTTCACGTAACCCGACATTTCTGCAACCCAATTCTAAATATTCAACAACAAAAAAAAAATAGTAAGTTAAAATGTAATCTGTTTAATTATGTGAGAGAAAGAAGAGAGAGAAAGACAGAGAGAACTTGAAAAGTGTTTCCGGAGAGGTCAGATTCGCAATGAGGCTCGTTGATTAACTCCCATGCAAGTATGGTCGGATCATCTTCGTACGCTAACTTAGTTATTGTATTGTATCTGGTGAGCACAGTCTGCACACACGCGCGAACACATTTATATATACAACGCACGTCAATTTAATTCGAAAATACTATTATTAATTTGATAAAAAAAACTTAGATGCAGCGTTAAATTAAACAAAAATGATAATAATAATAATCTAGAGTATATATAATTTGTAGGTACCTTGACATTATTTTTATAGAACCCTTTGACGACGGAATTAGTGAAGAATTCGTCGTCGTTTTTCAAGGACTGACCTTTGCTCCTCCCCCACTCCACATACTGTTTTTTCCCTCCATAATCATTCCAGTTGTTCACAAGGCTTAGTATTAGATAAATCCCATACTTTTTTGCTTCAGCCACCACAAAATCCAGCCCCTAAAGAAAATAAAAAATAAAAAATAAAAAAATATTATAACTGTGTCATATTTAGAGCATGATTTTTTTTGAATTAATTTAAATTATTCTAATAATTATATATTGTATAAAATTGGGGGTCAGGGAACGCCATCCTCGATTTTCTAGAGATATTGATAAAAAAAATTCAAATATAGGACATATTTATGGATTTTATTTTAAATAGTATAACTTTTAACCATTTTATTTTATATATTGTAATATTAAATTTTAAAAATGTATATAATTTACATAGGATTATGGAGGAGAAGAAAACAAAAATGGGGGACAAAACACAAATTTACAAAAAAATGTGGGGTCAAAACACATCTTCGCAAAATATTACTGAAAAAAACACTATGGTATTCGAAAAAAAATAGCATAAAATAAGTAAACATTTGTAAATTTTGATTGAAATAAACATAAATTAGAATATGTTTTTGTATATATATATATATAAATGATAGGTTTTTTTTTGTATTAAATTTTATTCGTCGTATATTTTAATTATTGCATACCGAAAATGTTTGTTGATTATAATTTCCGGGATATGTCTGAAGCGGGCTATAAGAGCCACCATCACTAAATGCCCAGGCCCTAGCAACGTTCATTCCATTCTTCGAAGCCTCGGAGAAGACATCGGAAACCTTGTACCTTGTTGTCGAGTTCGAAGCCGTGGTCATTAGCCAATATGCATTGAAACCATTGAAATAAAACGGCCTCCCATCCCTCACAAACTTGTTACCACTCGTTTTAATGAAACTCGACTCGGAATAACCAATCAAAAGAGCTACTAAAATAAAACAAATACCCAAAGTACTATTTCTACACATTTTTGATACAAAAAAATGATTATTGTTTAATACTTATGTTATTTTTTGTGCTTTGAATAAAATGAGTAGCATATGAAGGTATATATATATATATATATATATATATATATATGTATATATATATATATATGTATATATATAGATTTATACATAGATAGATGATTAATTTCGAATTATTGTTTCCTCATTGTGAATTTTTTTGTTAATCATTCATTATGATGAATTTGAAATCTAATTAGTATTTTAATAAAATCATAATTATATTATAAGTGGACCAACATGTAGTGATTTAGTTTCTAAATTTGTTTTTTAATTATCTTAATTTACCGACTCCATGATATTTTTTTTCCCCCCCCAGTAATCTTGAAAATCATAATAATGTCATACGGATTACTAAAATGTAGGGGTGGCAATTTGGATCCGGTTCCATGGATCCAATTAGATCCGGTTCGGTTCATAAGGATCCGGTTTAGATTAAGTTTAGTTGAAACAAATCGGATCCGATCCAGTTGATATTTTTATAAAACTGGATCCATGTGGATCCACTTAAAGTCCATTAAAAGTTTAACCACAAAATAAATTGGATCATAGTGGATCCAATCAAACCCCAATTAAAACCAATCAAATACCACACATTTTCTCACAAAAAAAAAGTCAAAATATATGTGTGTGCTGTGAGTGTGTGTATGTGT